CACAGGCAATACCCATCATATCCACTTTGGCCAAACTTCTGTCACTTAAAAGTAGAGAAAAAACAGCAGAAATACAAAGTAATTGCGTGGGGCAGAACAGAAAACTGCACCCAGCCATCTGCACCGAGCCCCCTTCGCCTACCTTCCTCCTGCTCCTCTTCCTCCTCCATTGGTGTCTGAGCCAGCCCAGCATGAGGGATGCGCAAGCGGATAAGTAATTCTGCACTCACTGCCAAAAGCTATTTGAAATGAGGGTCCTTCTCTAGAAAACAGGGCTTGTGCAATGACGCTTCTGGCCCATAGAGCCATCCAATACGTTGTACGAAGGTTAGAAGACCAAACCTCAGGGGAGCTGAGGCCAAGATGAACAGCAATCAGAAACAAGGCATGTGTGAGGGGGATAAATAACTTTTGAGGAAGAGGGGGAAAACCACTTGTATACCATGTGACTGTGAGAAAGAGGAAACAGCATGTGGTAGGCAGAGGAAACATGAAGATGGACATCAGCGGTTTAGCAGTCTAGTAGCCCAAATGAAAATTGTATGTGATGGCTCAGCATATAAATATCCATGTGCTTCTTAAAATGAACATAAAAAAGATTTTGTATCAGCTGTAACAGCAGCCCTAGAAAACAGTCAAACAGAATAATTTCAACCATTATCTCTACTCTACTTGCTTTGATGGATCTACATGCCGAAGGAGGAAGAAATAGCAAGAAATAAACGTCTACTGAATGCTGACTGTGCTATAATAAACTAAGGAGATCTGAGGAGGTGACAGGATATTGTCTGAGATGCCATTAGAAGAATAACGCCACAGAGCTATGACCACCTTCTCTGATTCTGTCAAGAGAGGGAGTAAATCAGAAGACAAACCAGAAATGGCTCTTTCATGGGGTAGGAAATGAGGGAATGACCATTTCCCTCTTGCCCTGGCCTCAGTCTAGATGTCTAGTTGTGGTCTGTGGCAGAAATGCCTCTCCGTAACCGGCACATCCGCGCCAGCCCTTTCTGAAGAGCGCAGCAGATCTGATCTAGGACCACTGCAAGTACTTTCCACGGGATTGCTTATAAGGAGTCCTCGCTAATTTACGTGGGGTAGAGAATAGCCAAGTTTATAACAAGGGGTATGCAAATCCCATATTGAAAACAACAGACCAACCTGCAATGGCTACCCACTGTGGGACCCAGTTCAGAGTTGCTAAGCGTTCTTGAGATCAGAGTATCTGAAGATCCCCCTTCTCCCAGGTGAGCCTGCTCACCCACCAAGATCGTCACCTGAGGCCCCCGTGTGCCTCCCAGGGTCAAAGAGCCTTCAGCTGGGAGCACAGAGACGCCCCGATGTTCCCCAACTTTCTTCGGAGGGAACGCCACCTCCCTTTTCGATAACTTACAGTCATATGCCCAACCTCCTCGCTTAGGAAGCCTTATCAAATCTGCATGACTTAAGCTCCTGAAATTAAACCTGCTGCACCAAACCATCTCGGATCTTAGAGGATGCTACTTGTTTTCGTAAGTGCCTTTTTCATTTTGCCACTTTTCTTTATTTTGACTTTACTTGTGTTCAGTTTATTATTGCTAGCCAAGACATTTTGAAAGGAAAAATAGAATACAATTTTCAACTTCTAAAAAATAAAAATTGGGAAGGGGGCAGGAAGGGAAGAAGGAATGCCTCTCAGAAATTTAAATTATGGAAAAGCCAAAGAAGCACAAGGAAGTAGAAGAGTCAGGCAATGGAAGGTAGCTCTCTTGCTTAGAAACAGAGGCATTCTCATGTTGAGTGGAAATAAATCACCAGCTCGTTATTCTGAGTAGGTTATGCTTATAGAACGCTTTTTATAAACGAGAGAACAAAGATAACAGCAAGATTGAAGCAGATATTGCAAACTGATCGTTTACTATTATTTTAAAAGTTCAAACGCTTAAACTCATTTCTAAACATGAATATATAAAAGTCTGTAAAAAGAAGGTCTGCACTAAGTCAACATCTGAAAACACTGTTTTCAGTTATTACTGCACTGTACTTTGAATATCTACAAAAATAACTTAGTCTTGTGCCTGTCCATGTATTAATAACTCCACTGGTAGCATTTTGATTTCTATCACTTGCAAATTTTCTTATCTCTGCACTGTTGGCAGCTATGTGGAGAAAAATCAGTACACCACATGGCAAGTAACTGAGAAGAAGAAAAGCAACCCCCCCAAAAAAAAATAAAGGGAAAAAGGGGCCACGTTCTTGGCCTATAACATTTTTTCAAAACAGATCCCCAAAAGGTGAAGTTTCTACAAACCACTCAATTAAACCAACAGGAAATGTAAGCAAGACAAACGGAAGTATTTCTTCACATGGAACGTAATTAATATATCACACTTCCATTACACAGGATAACCACTATGATGTGCCATTCAACATAAACAAGCTTAATTCGTGAGCCTAAAATATGGGCTGAACAAGGAACACATCTAGGATCTCCAGGCTGGATACTGCCAGCTACTAGCAGCAATGGCCAGAGAATGCCTTTGGGTGGCATTGACCGATTCACCAGGACACTTGGCACTGTTGTTTTCAGAAGCTGCGCTGGCCTGGGACGCTCTGACATCCAAACGGATTATTCCTGGGGGAATGACAGCCATCCCTGATTTAAAACAAATGTAACCGCTTCATAACAGGTGGAATATCACTTAACGAGGCAACTGAACCAAGCGTCCGACAAAATCTTTGGACTGACCTTCCTTCCCTCCTTCCCTCCACCAAGGCTCTGATTCAAAAAGCGTGTGCCGTTCTGGATGTCATTTGATTTTGCTCATTAATTCCACAGCCATGGCAAATAACACAGAAGGCCAAATGGAAACATGCAGAGTCTTGAAACACAATTCCCAAGAGTTCAGCAGAAACCCCCAACGCCACTTTCTGAAAGTGACCATCTTATACTGCTATTTATAACAATGGAACCACTGCGAAACAGTATTTACAATGCTCAACTAAAGCAGCCTGTCCTAGGAGTAGACAATCTCTTTACAACCAGGAGTCACCTTCAAGAAAGAGGGTTTGCAGTTGGTGTAATGCCAACATAATGTCACACAATGGATGAGGCCAATTTCTTCTACCGCAGCATTTCTCAACCTTGGTAACTTCAAGAGATATGGACTTCAACTCGCAGAATTCCCCAGCCAGCATGCTGGCTGGGGAATGGCAGTTGAAGTCCGTACAACGTAAAATTATCAAGGCTGAGAAACGCTGTTCTAGAGTGTTGGCTTTTGGAGGATGTCTCAGTGAAGCATTATTAGGTATGCCAAATCTATCTGAATGTTTCCAGCATTTACTTCTTCAATTTCCTTCAGAAAACTGGCGAGGAAACGTACCACCAAGTTTATGTGATTTGCTACTGAATTTAAGTAGCATAATGTTTGTGGCCATAAAAAAAGTTTAAGGAATCATATACACCCCTCTCCTAGAAAGTACATTATTTAGATCCAATGGAAGAAATCATTAAACACAATGCATTACACCGTTGCAAACGGTTGCGTACAAAACCCGCCATCTACTTTCATTCATCTGCAAGGCCGGCTGTAGCTGCAGGACAAACAGCGTTCAAGCAGATCTTAGTTGTTTGTACTGTTCGTACCTGTTTCCATAGATATTTTTATATTTCTTGAGCTTGTTTTTGCTCTTTACGATGCTGGATTGTCCTAATTTGGTTCACAAAAATGGATCAGGACTGAAAATTAATTAATGGAAAAGTACAAACAGCAACTTCAGTCCTGGACAATAATGAGGAGGTTCTAAGTGTCGTTACTTACTTTTACAGGAGCTTATTATTATTACATCTGCTATGCCAGTTAGAACTTTGGTCTCACATAAGCAAACCCAAAAGCAAAGTGTGAACAGGAAATACAACAATGACTGTCTAAAATTGGATTTCACTGGGCTGGAGGTCCATTCCCCAACTCCCACGCAGTCCTTTGAGGTATTATGTTCTGAAACTTTGTCAAATAGGTCAAATGCCATGAAGCTAAAGAGTTATTATTATAAGGGATGAAATGTATACAATAATTCAAGTGGAAAATAAATAATTTTGGCTGAATTTTTTGGTACAAAATTTAATTTAAAAAGCCCTTAAAATAAGAAGGATAAGAAAGTACACATAAATGTTAACTATAATCATTATCTTATACACTGAAAATGTAAACTCTGGTTCTCTTGAAGATAAAAGTGTATGTGCTTAAGTGAGCGGTCCTTGCATTTTCTGAATGTTTATTTAGAAATCCATGATAGCAGAAAAGTTAAGAAATGCTGCCTTAAGCATATAGGACTTATGCCTCACAGGAAATAATTACTAAAGGTAAACGGTAGATGATGCTCTTCCTTTTCCTTCAGGGGAAGCCAGAAGACCAGAGTAGTACTCCACTAGGACAGCGTTGCTAGCTGGGGAATTCTGGGAGCTGAAGTCCATACCTCTTAAAAGTTGCTGAGACTGAGAAACACTGCTCTAGGAACAACTTGTTGAGAGGAAAATTGGCAAACTCTCCTTGTACACGAATATAATATCTGCATTCTGCACGTGGTCATCGGATTCTCTACATCCTATTCTAGAAATTATATGAAAGACATATATGGAAACTATATGGTTTTTGATGGAACCGAATTGTAAAAGTTGGTCCGTTTCCAGCACACAAAATTGGACCAAGAAGGGCAGCTAAAGCCCCTCAACTGAAATGCCACGTCCTTCCCACATCTCTAAAGAGTCCTCCAACAGTGCTTGTTATGTCATTTCCTACTTATGCTTTTGAGTTGTTTTTAAGGGCATCGGTTAAGTCAAATCTCGATTAACATTGTAAGTTCCTCTCCATCAAAGAAAACGGGGACCATATTAAAACCACAGCTATCAAAGTACTTTTAGGTGTCACCACAACCAAGTTCTCAAGTAGCAGGATGACTCCTAAACGTTCAGCCTGTTTAGTCAGGAGGGTTATATCCCCATCAGTCACAGGAAAACCTACCCAGAAGACTTAGCCCTATAACCATCACGTCTAGTTTGCTCCTCCTGCTGTTGTCTTTCCTATGGTCAGAAGTCAAGGATTGCACTTCATGGCTCATGAGCTTCCTGCAGCCCCTGATTCACTTTTTATAGCTTCCAGACCCCCAAGATCATGACGAAATTCAGTGGCAAGCTGTAGCATGGATTCACACCAATTTGGGGTCAGAAATAAAAAGAGAGAGAGAGAAACTGAATTAAGTTCAGATATACTTAAAACAGTAGAAAGAAATGTTTAAGTCTCTTCCAGCAACACTATGTCACCTGTGGCCTCTGGAGCTGAACTTTTTTTAAGCATGACTTCTCTCCCCAAGATGAAAAAAAAAATACCATTATATATAAGTTGCCATGTTAAAATAAAACCTAAGGCAGAATCTTACATGAAAATAGTCAAATGTGTGTAGAATCTCCAAAATTACTAGGTTTATTAGCATTCATTACTGACACATTTTCCAGCAATCCAAAGGTGTGATATACACATAAAAAGGAAGAACTGTGAAAATTACCAAAAATATATGAGGTTGAAACTTCAATACTTCCTATTGCTTAAATGTCAAACTTTTTTTTTTCAATTAACAGTGACTTGTTTCACCAGCTATCATGAAAACTGCTGTGATGAAAATGTTCTATCTGTACTTATGGTTTTGTTATTCAGGTATATTGTTTTTTAAACTTTCCAACCCAATGGAATGTTAGAAAGGAAAGGCTCCTTCCATCTGTCTGTCTGTCCATCAGCAGGATAACTCTCCAAAAACTGAACAAGGGGGACCAGATTTGGGGCAGGGAGAGAAGTCAGCAAAAAAAAAAGATTAAAATTGAGTTAAAAAATGGGCCGAAGGCAGCCAGGAAAACATTTCAGGGGGAAAAGATCCCCCAATGCACCTTGATGGGAAAGGTGTTAGGGCAGCCCATTGGAACGCCGCCATTTTGCCACTCTGTGTCTCCTCCCTCCTGATCGCATGACCCAGAATAAAGCATAGGCAGCCCACCCCGGGCATCCCAATTCACACACAGATAGAAACACGGGTGCCCAGGCTATATGACTTGATTGCACAGAGGAAAATATAAGCGTTCTCCAGAAGCCATGCTCTGCACAACTCCCCTCTCTTGTTGAAATCACAATCTCTCTACGTTGGGCCGCACACCTTATTCAACTTTTATGGGAAAACAGGGGTGTTGAGTCTGCATTCACTGCGGCTTACTTGCCGTGACATTAAACGAGGCAGGAGGCCTTACAATGCCTCATGGTGGGGATGGCGTGGAGGGCGTCCCACCTGGGTCTCTTCCTCGTCTGCGGCATTAGAGCCCGTCTGGGACTCTCTCGCGGAATCCGGGGCACAAACGTGGAAGCAGGTGGGTACATCTGAGGTGGACTTCATAATTAGTGGCTGTAAAGAAAACCTACACCAGCTTGGCGCTCTTGAGGTATGACGGAGTTCAGTTTCCAGGCATTTAACAAATTGCCTGCAGAATCTAAGAATTTCCACCAGGCAACCAAACTAGTCCCAGTAAAAAAATGACCTGCTGTAGTCATTTTCCGGGATTTATCTGCAAGGCTACGTTGTGATGGATTCCCAGGGGCGAAGTCTGAAGGATAAAGGAATCTAAAGTGGGTTAAGGGACAGTGTCCACAAGGCACCACATCTTATCTACCACTTGACCTCCATCAATGAAAGAACCTGCTCTCTGGACAATGGGAATGAACTTGGATCCAGGAAGAGGTCTGCATACAGCAGTGTTGTCCAAACTTGGCCACTTTAAGATGAGTGGACTTCAACTCCCAGAATCCCCCAGCCAGCAATGCTGGCT